GGCACCTGTGGTCCCAGCTACTTGGGAGGCGGAGGCAGGAGACTCGCTTGAGCCCAGGAGTTGGAGGTTGCTGTGAGCAGTGAAGCCATAGCACTCTACACAGGGAAACAGCTTGAGGCTCTGTCTCAAAAATATATATATACAAAGTGTCCATCTTTATCCTTGATTAGTTTTGTCAGTTTAAAGCCTATTGTATCTGTGAATAAAATTGCAATGCCTGCTTTTTCTGCTTTCCGTTAACCTGGAATATAGATGACCATCCCTTCACCTTGAGTCTATATTTGTCTTTTAGGGTAAGGTGGGAGTCTTGAATGCAGCAGACATATGGCCTTAGTTTTTGTATCCAATCAGCCAGCCTGTGCCTCTTTAGAGGGCAATTTAAAGCCATTCACATTGCTTGAGAATATTGATAAACCTGGTATAATTTTGGGTACTGAGTTTTTTGAAAGTCCAGTGGACATTTTTAATCCTTTTGCCACTATGAAAATTGGAATTTGATCAAAATTTTCTGTGTGAGTTTACTTATGTGGTGGAGGATTGCACTGGTCATTATGGAGGATAGGTCTGAGAATATCCTGGAGGGCTGGTTTAGTTATAGCAAATTTCTTCAATGTATGAATGTCATTAAAGTATTTAATTTCTCCATCACAAATGAAACTCAGTTTAGCTAGATACAGGATCCTGGGTTGAAAATTATTTTGTTTTAGAAGATTAAAAGTCAGTGACCACCCTCTTCTAGCCTGAAAGTTTTCAGCAGAGAGATCTGCAGTCATTCTAATATTCTTCCCCTTGTAGGTTATGAATTTCTTACATCTAGCTGCTTTCTGAATTTTCTCTTTCATACTAATTTTAGTGAAGTTAATTATAATGTTCCTGGGGGGTGTTTGGTTCAGGTTGAGTTGTGCTGGAGTTCTGAAACTCTCTGTGATCTGAATTTCAGAATCTCTTGGCAAGTCTTGAAAGTTCTCTTTCATAATTTCATGAAGTAGAGCCTCTGTGGTTTGTGAAGCCACTTTGTTGCCTTCAGGGATTCCTATAAGACAAATATTAGTTTTCTTTGAACTATCCCAGAGCTCTCTGAGAGAATGATCCATTTTGCTTTCCATTTCTCTTCATCCTTGCGTGCTTGGGCACATTCAGAAGCTTTGTCTCAATGTCAGAGATCTTTTCTTCTCCCTGCTCCATTCTGTTACCGAGGGATTCTACCATATTTTTCAGATCTTTGAGGGCTACAACCTCTTGCCTCAGTGTTTCAAAATCTTTGATCATTTTATCTTTGAAATTGTTGAATTCTGGAGACATCTTTTGAATAATTTCTTGAGAAATCTTTTGAATCATTTCCTGAAATTATAATTCTCTTCTCTCTTCCATTCTGTTAATCTTATTTGCTATCCAAATTCTAAACTCAATTTCTGACATCTCAGCCATCTGTTTATGGATGGGAACTTCAATTGCATCTGTCCCATCCTTCCTTGGGGGAGTTGATCTATTCTGGTTATTCAAATTACCAGAGTTTTTCCATTGATTCCGCCCCATGCTGAATTTGCACCATGTTGGGACCATACCAGAACCTTACAGTCCATCGCCTCCACTAGAGAAGATGCTGGCTTCCTCTGGTTGCCCCGAGAGGCAGAGCGTGTCTGTCCAGAACAGCCTGAGGGGTATGAGCCTTGTTGTTCCCACTGCTGTGGATATTGCTCTTCACCTTGTGGTACCACTGTTCTAGTATGGTTCCCTCTCAACTGACCATCCTTTTGTAGTTTTAGGGTGGCTGGCCATGGATGCCAGGAACATACAGCTCTGGTAATTCTGGGCCCACACAGCGCCAGTGCCCGGAGTGAGGAACGCCTCTGTCACCAAGTGCATGATACACGGGTCTATCAAGCAGTTCTGGACTCACCCAGAGCTGGAGACTTGTCTGCCACTAACCACAGGTCACACGTGGCTCTAGCAAGCAGTTCTGGGCCCGCTGAGTGTGGGAGCTGGAGCAGGGAACTGCTCCGCTGCCACCAACAGGATGCACGCAGCTCTAGCAAACAGTTCTAGGCCTGCCCAGAGCATTGAACTCCTCCGCTGCCCCCCACAGGTCACACATGGCTCTAGCAAGCAGTTCTTGGCCCACCGGGAGCTGGGGATTCCTCTGCTGCTGCTTGCAGGCACACAGCTCTAGCAAACAGTTCTGGGCCCAACTGGAGCAGGGGACACTTCAGCCGGCCCCCATGGGGCACATGTGGCTCTAGCAAGCAGTTCTGGGCCTGCCCACAGTGGAGGACTCCTCCGCCGCTGCCCATGGGGCACACGTGGCTCTAACAAGCAGTTCTGGCCCTGCCTGGAGTGGAGGACTCCTGTGCTGCCCCTCCACCCGTGCGGGGCACACGTGGCTCTAGCAAGCAGTTATGAGCCCGCCCAGAGCAGTGGACTCCTCTGCTGCTGAGCACGGGGCGCACAGTTCTAAGAGCAGGGAACTCCACTGCCATTGATGGTGGATTTTGTATCTTTTGATTGTATTTTGGGGGTCACAGCTCACCTCAGCAAAGTTGTTGTGCATTCTTCATTCTTCTCTCTTGGCTCAGCTCCAAACTATCAGCTTACTTGCTAAACTTCTGTCCTTTAAGTCTCCTTCTGGATGGGAGCCTCTGTGGGAAGCTGGCTGCATTCCGCCATGTTGGCTCTACCCCACCTGACTAAAATTTAAAAACTATTTCCAATGTTATCAGGTACAACCTGGATGCAGGAAATTCTAGACATGATTCAAAATGATGGTGATGAGGAGAAATGCAGACAAGTCGTTTCCTTTGAAAGACACCCTTTCATTGAACTGAAATTTCCCCACAAAGAAAAGCCAGGTGAGTAATATGCAACACCACTGAAAAGGCTTTCACTGCTGATACCAAAGCAATGTGCAGTGTCTTGGGCAGAGGTCTCCATGGTAGCCAGTACCAGGCTGTTACATCTGAAGGTCAACTTGAATACAGGTACAGAAGTCAAATCCTAGAGTGGGTTCCCAGGACCTCCTCCAGTTTTCAGCCGGGGACCTTCAGCTTCCCAACAAGTCATTTTGATTTTTTGACTTTCTGCTTTCCAATGATCTGTTGGACAATGCCTTTTCTTTTTGTGTCTGCTTTCTCTGTTTAACTCAGTGGAAAGGCCAAAAGGTAGTGCTGAGTTACTACAAAAGGATGGAGGTGATTTCTGAAGAAATATAGGGAGGAGGAGGAAGATATATTTTGCACATTCTCAGAATTAATGGATGGAGCTAAAGAGTTTTACTGAAAGTTTAAAGCCCACACAGAGTAACATGACATAAAGAAAAGCTTCCTATAAGGCTAGGCAGGAAGGGACACTTTATATGTCCTTGTGGGTATCCAGCTATTGTCATGACAGAAAAACACGTATACACATACACACAAAAAATAAAGAAAATCACTCTTTAGATTAAAACACAAAGATAAAATGAACACTTTCCCAAGAACGGCAAAGAGAAATGAAGAATATAATTTGTTTTTCTAGATTTGGAGATAGCTCTTGAAATTCCCTCGCCACGGATATTAAAGACTCACCTTCCCTCACACCTAATTCCTCCATCTATCTGGAAACAAAACTGCAAGGTAAAAACAGCTGGATTTTCAAACTTCTCTCACCTTGGTGATGTCAACAATATAACTGAGAACATCTTTCAAAATAACATATGTGGTATTTTTCTTAAACTCGGAGTTCTTACAATCAAGGATTACATAAATTTCACATCTGTGGTCACCCTTATTTTCTAACATTCTTATTCCCTTGATTCTATTTCATGCCAGTTCCTTGGTCTAATTTTTAAAAATAGAGTTTGTGTTGCTACAAATCAAAGTGTGGGTAGGAAGCTAGATGGGAGAACAACACATTTTAAATTCCCTTTTGCTTTGCTCTGCCAAAGTGCTAGGAGGGACTCTCCTGGCCTCAGAAGTAGGAGGACAGATCTCCTTGTCTAGCCTTCCATCCCTCCATAAAGCACCAAACAGGCCACGTTTAAAGCCTGGAATTACCTATACCTGTTTCACCGTCATACCTGACCTCTCACAAGGTCTGGTTCACTCTGTAACATCCCACTAATCTGCGCATCACATTCCCTCATCCCATCTGTGCCCATGTCAGCCAGTCACCCACTGTTCTCTTCTGCCTCCCAGTGTACCTGCCTCTGCCCTGCCCCCTCCAAACCCCTCTCTGCAGCCGAGAATCTTTCCAAACCCAAGTCCAACAAAGATATTGGCCTACTCTAAACACTCCACAGGTGGGCTGAAGATCACAGCACATCCTATGTATGTCTGTCCCTCGTAGCCCTTGGCAATCTGCACCCTGCCATGGCTTCAGCCAAGTCCTTCCATTCCCTGTTCTTGCTACCATCACCCTGAAATCTGAAGGGCCTTTAACACACAGCACTTCCTCACACCCGGCACCTTCCCACCTGCAGCTCCCCAACTCGGTGTGCCCCCCACTCTCCCTGGGTAGTTCCAACCCATTCTTGAGCTCTTTGCATAGCCACTAGCTACTTAGTCACCTCCCCTGATCCGCCATGGCTGATTGAATTGTATTTATATACGTTGGCACACATGTGCATGTAATTGTCCCTCACTGTGCATCACACTGCATTGTAACTTTCTCTTTGCCTCTCTGACTGACTGTGGGCTTCTGTAATGAAGAGACAGTGTCTCATTTAATTTTTCATTCTAACGTGAGTCTGGCACATAGCTGGGGCTTCCTTCTCTGCTCAGTATTTGTTGAATGAATAATCATCAACTCCCAGTGATCCCATCACCATACAACTCTCTCTAGTTTGCTGAATTCTTCTGGAGTAGCCAAGAGCACCCCAACTATGATGAAAAATTAAATATTAGAAAAACTACTCTAATCTATGAGAAATACTGTCCAGCATATTCATCAGGGGGAATCTCATCAATGTATGCAGGAGCCAAGCAGCAATGCAGGAAGCTCTGAAATCGGTGCAGGCCAGACCCCACCACACACAACCATCTACTGGTGGGACATTCCACAAATGCTCAAGTCTGTTACTTCCCCAATTAAAGCAGGGCAGTACCCTTTTCTCCTCACCTAACAGTAACACATATGAAAGTCAAATGAGATGGTAGGTTAAAAAAATGCATTCTTATTCCCCAATTTTTCTCTAATTATGAATCTGGAAAATTTCTAGAAATTCTTCGAAATCTAGCTGAGAGCCATTTCATGACTTCTTCCCAGGACGGATCTATCACTTCTTCCTCTTGTACCTACTCAGCACATCCTATCATATTTCAATCATTATTTACAGTACTATCCTCAAATCCTGCTCCTCTTTCTACATTATGTATGAATACTCAAAGATCGGGGCAATCTCATTTGTCTTCATTTCTTATATGTCTAGTCAAGTTGTAGGGGTAAAGAGACCTAGTATATTTAAGATTTTAATTAATACATAATGTATACCAAATTATGTTCTTATAGGGTGTAGTCATCATTGTCTGGGGATGCTCTCCTACAGTGTTTCCACTCAGTCTCATTTTTCTTTCTCCCCTTCCTTCTCTCTCTTTGATCTCAGATTATCTATGTTGCCAGAAATGCCAAAGATTGCCTAGTGTCTTACTACCACTTTCACAGGATGACCTCATTATTGGCTGACCCTCAGAGTTGGGAGGACTTCTGTGAAAAATTCATGTCAGGAAAAGGTGAGTGAAAACTGATTTTGTGGTCCCCACTTTTGAGCGATTCTAACACTAAGCACCTCTAGAATCTGGCAGAGAATGGTACCAAAGACCATCCTGTGTAACGATGCTCTACCTTGGAGATTTGGGACTAGGGAAGGCAGGTAGAAGAGAGTTCTTATTTTTTGAATGTAAACTGAGGATATAAGATAAAAATTCTCAAATCCTGAATTTTAGATTCAAACAGCCAACTTAAAGGAGAAGAGGAGACCTACTTTATGGAAAGACCTGGGATAGTGGGAAAACAAGAT